CTTATTGACTCTATCGGCACAGCAGGCCTAAGCAAAAGTCGCTCAGTCATGTCCGACTCTTTGCAACCCCATGGACTGTAGTCCATGGAGTTCTCCAGGCCAGAATACTGGAGTGGGTAGCCCTTCCCTTCTCCAGGGGATCTTCCCAACCCAGGGATCGAACCCAGGTCTCCCACATTCAGGCGGATTCTTTACCAGCTGAGCCACCAGGGAAGCCGAACAGGCCTAAAGGCATTATTTTTTACATTTCACATGTGAGAAAAATGAAACCCAGCAAGGTGAAGTAACTTGGTCACAAGCACGGTTTTTAAGTGGCCCACCAGGATTATCAAATTTGGCTCTCTGATTTCCAAAGCCTGTTCCGCTCCTCCAGTAACAGGTGACTTCTTGCTCTACCACTGAGAACAAAGATCCTGTTAAAGTGCCGTCAGGCCGATGGAGGGAATCTGGCAGAGAGAACCAAAGGCAGGACAGCGTGCCTCCAGGGGCCTCTCAAGGAAGGACTCGCACCGGCCTTGAGGGCGCCTGGAGCTGCAGCAGAGAGCCCGGAGGGGAAAACGACCAGAGGAGCCTGGCGTGCGATCAAGGAAGCAGCGTCCAAGATGGAGCTTAGAGGGCAGGACTGTACGCTAGGGCGCATCTTGGAAGGCAGCAGTGGAAGGGATCAGCCACAGGTGACGGCAAGCCCGAGAGGCCCTGCCAGCCCCAGTGAGCTCTGAAGCTGAGACGGCGCACCAGAGCTGCCCCACGGGGAGGCGGCAGGGCCAGTCCTCGTGACCCGCCTCCACCCGCCATCCGTCACTGGACGCGGGCCGTCAGGGAGAGGCACACGACCTTGCCCTGAGGCAACCTGTAAAGGGGATGAGGGCTGAAGGCTGCCGGCCCACAGCAGCCGGGGCACCAAGTCCTTCCTGCAGGGAATCTGGGAGGCACATCACCGGGTACAGTCAGTTCCCCGGTGGCTCAGACGGTAAAGAATCCGCCTGCAGTGCAGGAGACCTGGGTTGGATCTCTCGGTCGGGAAGATCCCCTGGAGAAGTGAAAGGCAACCCACCCCAGTATTCTAGCCTGGAGAAACCCTTGGACAGAGGGGCCTGGTGGGCTACAGTCCATGGGGTCGCAAAGAGTCAGACACGACTGAGCGACTAACACTTGCACTTTCACATCACTGGGTACACAACAGACTGAGAAAAGTTTTGACTGAACAGCTACATGGGGGACACTATCAGTTCAGTTCAGTTCAGTTGCTCAGTCGTGTCCGACTCTTTGCGACCCCATGGACTGCAGTGCGCCAGACCTCCCTGTCCATCACCAACTCCCGGAGTTTATGCAAACTCATGCCCACTGAGTCAGTGATGCCATCCAACCATCTCATCCTCTGTCGTCCCCTTCTCCCCTGCCCTGAATCTTTCCCAGTGTCAGAGTCTTTTCAAATGAGTCAGCTCTTTGCATCAGGTGGCCAAAGTATTGGAGTTTCAGCTTCAACATCAGTCCTTCCAATGAACACTCAGGACTGATCTCCTTTAGCATGGACTGGTTGGATCTCTCCTTGCAGTTGGTGATGGACAGGGAGGGCTGGAGTGCTGCAGTCCATGGGGACACGACTGAGCAACTGAACTGAACTGAAAATCTCTGGGCCCTACCCATCCCTGACCCCTGCCAGGAAGACTCTACCCTCTGGAGAATGGCCCCCAGGGAGACCTGGACTCGGGGAGACCAGGACGGCAGGAAATGGATGAGGCACTGGGTTTGCCATGGAGGATGCAGTGAAGTTCTGCAACCTGAATGACAAGAGCGCTTCCCCATTTCCCTTTCCCAGACCAGCTTCCAGAACACCCACAGCCAAGGAGGACAGCCTCCAAAGCAACGGCAGAAAGAGCCTTCTCAGGAGAACCTGAACAGCTCCAGAGAAAAGATATGCTGACTGACAATCTTAGCATCTCCCAGTGGGAAAGCCAACTCACCCCCAGTCACCCCCCAAAGGAGACCATCAAGGAACAAGCTTGCCCCAACACCCACCAGCATACAGGTCTTCCAACCAGCTTTCAGGGCCTCGCTCTTCATAACAGATCCCTGGTTCCACAGTGCCTAACATCTAAAGGACTCCTCACACATACTATACAGAGATAAAAGCAGAGAAATACAAAAAGAAACTGGAAGAAACTGAGCTAGACATTTAAATGCTAGACATTTAAAAGCAACTTGAAAAAAAAAATTTTAAAGAAAAGCTAAAAAAGCAGCTTGTAGAAAAGCAAACTTCAAATGATATACACAGAATCAGAAGAAACACTGTCACCTCCACGAGGGAAAGGCAGGCGGCTATTTCTGAAGAGCAAGAAAGGACAAGAACGAGAAAGAGTGCATAGAAACTACAACTACGGCAGAAAAACCTGCAAATGTGTAGGAAGGCTAGAAAAGTCCACTGGGGAGACCACCTAGATGACAAATAAATCAAATGAGCAAAAATGAAAGAAAAGAGTAAAAGGATTAAGGGTTAATCTGAGAGGCCCACTCTCCAAATATGTGGGGCTCCAGAAAGGCAGACAAGGAAAAAATGGGAGAAAGCTTAAAATAGAAGCTTAAAATAGAAGAAGAAAGCTTCCAGAACTGGAAGATGTGACTCTTTTGTTAGAAAACAACCATTTATAACCCAGACCGATACATGAAAAAAAAATACACCCCACAATATATCACCATGGAACTTCAGAACACCAGGAATAACAAAGAGATTATAAAAGCTTCCAGAGAAATGGAAAACAGTCAAGACAGAGGAAGGCACAGAACCCAGGAAACAGAGGACCCAACAGAGAGGAGAGGAGAGAAGCTTCTAGAACAAAAAGAAACCCCAGGAGGATAGAGTTCAGGCTCAAGTAGAAAGGTGAAGGGCCCCAAGAGGGAGGGCTGGGTTTAGTGGGTTATCTGCTCCAGGGTGTAAGACAGATTAGCAATAGGTACAAAGAAAACTAAGCAAAATAAATTGACGCAATGAACAACTCTGGAAAAGGTAAATGAAAGGGATTGTCATCTCAGTGCAGTACGTGGTGCAGCAGTTAAGAATAGGTACCTACAAACAATATTGGTACTGGGGCTTGCCAGGTGGTTGCTAGTGGTAAAGAACCTGCCTGCCAATGCAGGAGACAAAAGAGACGCTGGTTCGATCCCTGGGTGGGAAAGATCCCCTGAAGGAGGGCATGGCAACCCATTCCAGTATTATTGCCAGAAGAATCTCATGGACAGAGGAGCCTGGCGGGCTACAGTCCACAGTGTTGCAAAGAGTCAGGCACGGCTGAAGCAACTTAACATGCATAACACACACACATACAAACCTGTAAACACCAATATCCCTATAACCAGAAACACTGACTAGACTGTCTGAACAGGAAAGCAGAGTAGCGGGATGACAGGACAGGATGGGAGTGATTAAATGCTCATCTATCCTAAGAGGAAATCAGTAAATCAATAATGAATGACCACAACCGAAATGAATCAAGATAGAACTTAGGAATATGAATCTTTAGGAATCCCAAAAGCAACCACAGAAAGTGGCTTCCTCCCAGAAGCAGGGGCAGGGTGTTGGTTAAGACAAAGTATCATTTTTAAGCTGTTGTGTCCTATCTTTCTTGACTTTGTTAATGAAATAAATTTAATTTTTAATAATGAATGGAATAAAGAAAGAGTTCTTTATAAGGAAAAAAGGCACCACTGCCTTTTTTTCCAACCCCAAAGAGCCTGGAGGGGGAGAGTGGGGGTAGGGTGGGAGCATCAAGGCAACCTAATTACGGACTGCTTTTCAGGGCTGACTGGATCAACACATTTCCTTTAAAACAAGCCCAGGAAGTCTACAAGCAATAAATGCTGGAGAGGGTGTGGAGAAAAGGGAACCCTCTTACACTGTTGGTGGGAATGCAAATTAGTACAGCCACTATGGAAAACAGTGTGGAGATTTCTTAAAAAGCTGGAAATAGAACTACCATATGACCCAGCAATCCCACTTCTGGGCATACACACCGAGGAAACCAGATCTGAAAGTGTTCATCGCAGCACTGTTTATAATAGCCAGGACATGGAAGCAACCTAGAAGCCCATCAGCAGACGAATGGATAAGGAAGCTGTCGTACATATACACCATGGAATATTACTCAGCCATTAAAAAGAATTCATTTGAATCAGTTCTAATGAGATGGATGAAACTGGAGCCCATTATACAGAGTGAAGTAAGCCAGAAAGATAAAGACCATTACAGTATACTAACACATATATATGGAATTTAGAAAGATGGTAACGAGAACCCTATATGCAAAACAGAAAAAGAGACCCAGATGTATAGAACAGACTTGTGGACTCTGGGAGAAGGCGAGGGTGGGATGTTTCAAGAGAACAGCATCGAAACATGTATATTATCTAGGGTGAAACAGATCACCAGCCCAGGTTGGGTGCATGAGACAAGTGCTCGGGCCTGGTGCACTGGGAAGACCCAGAGGGATCGGGTAGAGAGGGAGGTGGGAGGGGGGACCGGGATGGGGAATACATGTAAATCCATGGCTAATTCCTTTCAATGTATGACAAAAACCACTGCAATGATGTAAAGTAATTAGCCTCCAACTAATAAAAATAAATGGAAAAAAATAAAATAAAATAAAACAAGCCCAGGGATTTCCCTGGTGATCCAGCAGTTAAGAATACGCCTGCCAGAGCAAGGGACAGGGATTCAATCCCTGGTCTGGGAAGATCCCATGTGCCGCAGAGCCAGAGAGTAGCCCCCACCCACTGCAACTAGAGAAAGCCCGTGCGCAGCAACCAAGACACAGTGCAACCAAAAATCAATTAATTACTTTTAGAGATTTAGAAGTAAATAAATAAAACAACCCCATCTTCCAGTCAACGGCTGCACTAGCACACACCTGCATTCATGTGGTTCCTCCAGGTTCAATTTCAAGTTAATTAAAGACACTGTCTACTGCACTTGAATTTCACATGTCTCGTCTTTCTCAATCATTTAGCTTGCCTTCTCCAGACAAACATATACTCTTCGGGATGCATTTACTGCCACCCTGCAAAGAAGAGGAAAGAAAGCAATGTATCAGCTGACAAGAAGCCTCAAGGTGAGCACCTCATCTATCGACATCACCCTTGGATTAACAGAAAGCCAACAGGCTAGAGCAGGCAAGTCAGCTGACTGCCCTTCTGTGCTCCACTTTCAGGGGACATCCTGGGGCCTGTCTCACACACACACACACACCCGCACACACAAGAAGAACTGACACCAGAGACAGAACTGTAAAAGCCCAGATTCCAGACACACTCGAGTGCTGCATGTACAGACCCCTCCAGCTCCCCAGCTCACACTGCTCGGCTTCCCTTTCATTTCGGATCTCTGTGAACTGCCTACTTCGCACAGAGTGTCTGGCCTCAAGCAAGCTCTGGGGCTCCAGCATTCCAAACCCTAGAGGCTTCATCAAGCCCCCAAATGCGGCTCTTATCAACCCCCAGGCAAGTGTTAACTAACGGGGGGGGGGGGGGGGGGGGGGGACTGATGGATAGACTCTCTCCCAGTCACCCCTCAGGCAGATCCTTCTGAGAGGCATTTGAAACACTACCCAGAACGTGGGTTCGATCCCTGGGTCAGGAAGATCCCCTGGGGAAGGAAATGGCAACCCACTCCAGTATTCTCACCTGGAGAATCCCACGGACAATGAGCCTGCCAGCCTACAGTCACGGGGTCACAAACAGTTGAACATGACTGGAGTGACTAGCACACACCCACCAGAATGTTCCAGGCAGGACCACGTCCCAGGCACTCTCAGTGCTGACCTCATTAATGCACCTTTTCCCTTCTTCCCTTGCTCACCCGGGCCCCCCACCTCTGTCCCTTGTCTGTATCTTCCAAATAAACTACCTGCACCAACTCTTGGTCTCAGGCTAAGCTTTAGCAATGATACAGCCAAAATTTGGGAAGATCAAATGTCCCAGTTTGGCTGCAACTGAAGGATTCCCCAGATCATGGAACTTTTAGTGCTAAAACTGGGGAAACCCCTGGCAAACCAGGATGAACTCACACTAGTAAGACACTGAAAAGGAAGAGATACCAGAGAAAAAGTTGCAAAAAGGAAAGTGGTGAAGAAGGGACAGTGTCCTTCCATTGTCTATGCTATAATCTTCACTACATCAAGAAATACCTGCCATGCTGTGGTTGGCTCCCCTTAACCCCACTGTTTTTAAATACTGTATGGATGCAGATGGTAGCCATTTTAAGTAAGAGAAGAGATAACACAAAATGTACAAACAGTAGAAATAAAAAGGCACTAATAGAGAATCTAGAAGAAAATACTCCAGAAAGCAACCTAGAAAACCCAAACACAGCAACTGAAAAACTATGAAAAAAGAATTCAGTAAGTAAGCCAGTAAAATAAACAATATATAAAAAAACAAACATGTTCTTGGAAAAAAGGGAATGCTCCTACACTGTTGGTAGGAATGTAAACTGGTGCCAACACGATGGAAAACAGTAAGAAGGCTCCACAAAAAACTAAAAATAGAGTTGCTGTAATAACCCAGCAATCCCAGTACTGGGCATATACCCAAAGAAAACCATAATTTGAAAAGATACATGCACCCCTATGTTCACTACAGCACTGTTTACAGTAGCCAAGAAATAGAAGCAACCTAAGTGTCCACTGACAGATGAATGGATAAAGATGTAGCACATGTATATGATGGACTACCACTCAGTCATAAAAAAGAATGAAATAATGCCATTTGCAGCATAGATGGACCTAGAGATTTTCATTCTAACTAAAGTAAATCAAAAAAAGACAAATCTCATGTGATATCACGTATATGTGGAATTTAAAATACGACACAAACTTATCTGTGAAACAGACTCACAGACATAGAGAACAGACTTGTGGTTGACAAGGTGGGGGTGGGATAGGAAAGGGATACAGTGGAAGTAGCAGATACAAGCTATGATATATAGAATATGGATAAGCAACCAAGTCCTACTGTACAGCACAGGGAACTATAGTCAATACCCTATGAAAACCATAATGGAAAAGCATATGAAAAAGAATGTGTATATATGTATAACTGAGTCACTTTTCTGTAGAGCAGAAATTAACAAAACACTGTAAATCAATCATAAGCAAAAAAATAAATTTTAAAAAGATACATTCTTATATACCAGCAATAAGCAATTAGAAATTATAATTTTTAAAAATCGCATTCACTGTAGCAAAGGAAATTGTTAAATGTCTAAGAATATACTTAAAAAGAAAAAAAAAGACTTATGTGAATAAAACTATGAAAAATTACTTTAGAATTTAAAATGTAGCATGAATAAAAATAAATACATTCCATGCTCCTAAATGTGAGTCATTTTTTAAAAATATATTTTTATTTGTTTATTTATTTGGCAGTGCCAGGTCTTAGTTGCAGCATGTAGGATCTTTAGTTGTGACATGTGGGATCAAGTTCCCTGACCAGGGATCAAACCTGCGTCCCCTGCTTTGGGAGTACAGAGCCTTAACCACTAGACCACCAGGGAAGTCCCTGAATCATTTTTGTAAAAGATATTTTCTTTGCAAATTCGTCGGTAAACTCTCAATGCAAATTCACCCAGAGTCCCATTATTTTTTAATGAAAGTTGAAAAACTGATTATAATCCTCTGCCTGAGGAAAAAAGGCATTTAAAGTCAATAGAGGAAGAAAAGATTGTTCAAGAAATATTTTAGGAACAACTGGATACTCATTCAGAAAACACTTAAGTTGGACAGAAATACTTACTGAAGATCTAGTGGTAAGCACCAAAAAAGGAGGCATTTTCCCACTGTCACAGGGCTAACAGGTGAACAAACATATTAAATCTAAGAATCATGTGGCATAGTGGTAAAGAACACGCCTGCCAATACAGAAAGTGCAAGAGACTCAGGTTCTGTCCCCAGGTTGGGAAGATCCCCTGCAGTAGGAAATGGCGCCCCACTCCAGTATTCTGGCCTGGAAAATACACGGGAGGAGGAGCCAGAAGGGCTACAGCCCACAGGGTCACAACGTGTCTAACACGACTGAGCACGCATGCATCCCTCCTGTTCTCACAGAGTTAACAGGTGAGACAACAGATATCAAATCTAAGAATCACACAGATAAATAAAAGTGACTACTGCGACCAGAGCTACTGAAAAGTGCTATTTCTGTCCTGAGAACTCCAGAGAGTGGGAACTGACTTCGGAGGGGATGTTGGCTTTGAAAAGATCAAGTGTGGCTGCAAGGCAGAAAAATGGATTGGTTCAGAGGCATTGCTGGGTCGGGATAAACAGAAGGTGGACGGTGGCAATACGGCCCTCTCAGAGGCTAGGCCTAGAGTGTTCGGACTGAAAATAGACACCGGGGAAGGCGGACGAAAGGCACACTTGGAAGGTGAATGGACCTGAGTTGACAGTGGACTGGGCGCTGAGGCTGAAAGAACGGGAGGTGCCAGGAATGGCTGGACGGCTACCCCGCTTGGCTGAGATGAGGCGCACAGGACCAGGTTCGTGCTGGGGATGTACCGCGAGCTCAGGCTCGGACAGGCAGGGTCCGGGGCATCCTGTGTAGGAGCTGACGGAAAAGACGCCTCACTTTTCCAACAGGACATGAGATGCAGCAATACCAGCTGCTCTCACAAGCACCCCCCCGGCTGTGCTGACGACACCTCGGACGTGGGCTTGGCCCTCGTCGAGCCTCGATGGCCGCCGCTGCGAAGCGCCTCAGGCGCCTGCGAGTCCAGGCGGAAGCGGAAGCGGAACGAGAGGGTGCAGAACACAGCCCTGCACCTCTCACCGGAAGTGAAGATCACCCACTGAACTCGGGCCCTCCCCTTGCGGAGAGCAGGAGTCTCAGATTGCGACTGCAGGTGAAGGTCCGGGGGAAAGGCAGGGTTTTCAGGAATTTGTTCTTAAGTACGAGAGCCCAGGGAGAAGGAGCCTGACTTGAGTAAGGCTGAATGAGGAGCGCTCTTGGCGAACCTTCAGGTCAAAGGTCACAATTCCATACAGTTGCCTCATTGTCAGTGAGCGTTTATTGAGCGCCTGCTGTCTCCTCCGTACCTGGCTAGGGCCGGAGGCTCTGGGCTCTTGCTGTCCTCTCCCTAAGGTCCTCGTAGTTCTGATGGGGGTCGGGGGACGGGTGGTAAGTAAAAGGAGCTTACGGGCAGTGCCACATTGCTTCGGTCGTTTCTGACTCTTTGCGACCCTATGGATGTAACTGGCCAGGCTTCTCTGTCCATGGAACTTTCCAGGCAAGGATACTGGAGTGGGTAGCCATCCCCTTCTCCAGGGGTTCGTCCCAACCATGGGATGGAACCCGGGTCTCCTGCACTGCAGGCAGATTCTTTACTTTGTGAGAGACCAGGGAAGCTCCATAAAGGAGCACAAATGAGCTTAAACGAGCAGATGACCATGAAGCCCTTAAGTCAAACTACTGGAACCGGAAGGGTTTTCCCAGGAATCGAACCTGTGCCTCCTGCATTGCAGGCAGATTCTTTACCACTGAGCCACCAGGCAAAGCTCCACAAAGACTGCCAAGTAGGTAAAAGGTGAACAATTCTCAGAGCCAGTATAGGACTGGGAGATGTTTTGAGTTCCCCAAGCCAGAATGGAGAGAATTCATTGTTCAAGGACCTTCAGAGTGACCTCAAAATTGCCATGCCTTAGTGGGGGGAGGTAGACCAGATGCAACAAAGCTTAAAAACAAACCTAGAAAGGATCAAGCTGATCTGCAAAGTAAGTTTACTGCCTACCAAAATAAACATCAACATTCTGCTTAGACAACAAAATCCAAACACAAAACAAAGTATCACTTTTTAAGGTCAACATCTAAAATTTTACTAGGCATGCAAAGAAGCAGGAAAATGTGATGCACATCCAGGAGAAAGAGTAGTCAAAAAAAAAAAAAAAAGCAGAAATAACAGAAATGGAATTACCAAGGGAAGGTATGTAGGAAGGAGATGGAATCCAAGCCAAGAGAGTAGCCGGAATACACAGGGTTTCTGGACAGCTCCTTTGGAGAGTATCCAGTTCCTTTTGGTGGCACTGGTGAGAATAGGTTATTCAGGACAGACAGCCACTATTATCAGAGAGGCTGGGTGACATGTGGCACATATAGTGGGCAACTCCACTAGAAAAAGAAAAATGTCGAAAACTGTGTAGGTCTTGTCAACTGACAGACAGAAAGGCTACTTTCCTTCCCACTGAGTTAACCAAGTTCCTTGGGACAAATCAGAATGTGCGTGTCTGTTTTCATTATAGTTTCTCACTTATGTCTCAGATGAACCTGGATTAAATACTTGCATTTCTAAGAAAAGAAAAGAGTTAAGCTTTAATGAGCACCTACTATGTACCAAGCATTCTACAGGCACTCTGACATACATTGTTTCACCTAATTCTTCTGCTAGCCTAAGAAACAGATACTTATTCTCCTTAGAAATGGAAGCACTTACATCCAGAAATTAAGGAGTTTTCTTGTGGTTGGTTAGAACTGAAATCTGAAAATTTGATACAGCCGTGTCGAGTGTTTTGAAGTCCTCTTAAAACAAGCTGTCTTTGCGGTCAGGCACATCTAAATCCAAATCCAGTTCAGCAACTTGCCAGTTGTTTTCCTTTGGAAAATTCCCCACCTCTTGAAAACTTGGGTTCTGTGCATGTTGAGTGGAAAGAGGAAATCAATAAGGAAGATTAAGGGAGAAGGTGAAGAATGTAAAGAACCCAGAAGACAGCCAGGCACACAGTAGGTGTTCAGTGACGCCTCTGTCCTCCTCCTCCTCTGGTAGATGTTTTATCTTTGGTAGGAGGGTGAATAAATAGCAGGGCCATAGCTGAATCACACAGAAGGCTTTTCAGCAAATGCATGTGTCAGTGGTTCTCACAGCAAAGTCCCTGGACTGGGAGCATCAGCATCACCTGGAATTTGTTAGAAATGCACATTTTCTGACCCCACCCCACAGGTCCTGAGTCAGAAACTCTGGGAATGAGCCCAGCAATCTGTATTTTCCGGCATTCCCAATGAGTCTGATACACACTGAAGGTTTCAGAATCTCGAGTACAGTCTTTCTACCTTTGCATTAGTTTACTTAAACGCATAGACTGTGTGTGGATCCTAATAACCAATCCAACATTTGCTCATCCTTTTGTCTTTCATGGATTGTTTTCAGATTATTTAACATTTTCTGCTGATTCAGGCTCTCCACAGTAAAGAGTTAAACCAGGTGAAATGATGTTGCACTAAAAACATTCTAAAAAGAGGTTCACAAAGCTATTGATTTGATACAAAAAGAGAAATGGAGAGTTCTTGAGAAAAGTCATTTTAATGGCACAGGGGAGAAAGTGACTAAATTGGGAGCCTCTTCCCTAATCCCAGTGACAGTTTAGCACAAATGACACTTCAAAAATTCTACCATTTTCACAGTGAATACTGTTTTAATTTAGTTATTCCTGCCCCCCATCCTTTTAACTAAAACTTATTTCCTAATTCAGCTGTTTGGTTTCCTAACCTGAAGATCTGGGAAACGGTGAAGCAGTTTTGATCCAGAAATTAGGCACTTGTCTTAGGTGCAGAAGTTTCTGTGCTGAAAGACCTGAAAATATTGAAAGCTACAAAACAAAAACTGATGTGGGCTGGGCAGCTGAAACCAATTATGCAGGAAATTTGGCATCTGAAGTAAACGGTACGTCTGAATACTTGGAATGATTTTCAATTATATTTAAGTAGTTTTCATTTTTTCCAATTGTACAGTCTTCCTCCACATCCCTGTCCCCAGACTGTACTCATGCATTTTTGCTTGAAGATGATTTCAGTTGTTTCCATTTTCTTAATCTTTTATCTCTGCCGTTTTTCTCTGCTTCCTCATTTCATGATTTTTTTTTCTTACAAGGCACTCACACCGCATGTGACACCTCTACAAATGACGGGATTTTTCTTCCTATCCTTGAAGTGACAGCTTGTCTTTCCCCTCGAGTGTCTTTGTCGCACTGCCTGATAAACTGTTTATTTTTCCTAACAGCTTTCCTTTTTTGCCTGAAAAACAAACATTAACCAAAAAGTGCTTGTTTCACTAGTGACCCGATCTATGCAATCCCTGGTGCTGGAGCGCCCCCTGCTGCATCAATGGGAATTAGCCTGCCTTTTGTAATCCTGCCTTCTGTCCCCCAGAGGATGAGAAACTTGACTTCGGGTGGCCATGTTCTCATCCTACGTGCAGATTCTTCACAATAATATTCAGTGTAATATTCTTGATATAGTCCCTCCTCTAACCTGAAGAAGTCACATGATCGCCGACAGATCTCCAACTATCATACCACAGTATGATAAAACTACACTTGTCACCACTGTCTACTCGGTACTTAGTAGTAATATGCCCCACATAGAAGAGAATGACCAACAGGCGGGTGGGACCCTTCTCTCGGAACCCGCTGATGATATGGAACCTGTGACCTCATAAGGCAGGGAGCCCAGATGATTCCGAAGGTCCTTCTTATAATAAACTGAACTCAGCTTTTTATGGGGCTTCCCAGGTAGTGCTAGTGGTAAAGAACCTGCCTGCAAATGCAGGACATTTAAGAAACCCATGGCTTCGATCCCTGGGTCTGGAAGCTCCCCTGGAGTGGGGCATGGCAACCCTCTCCAATATTTTTGCCTGGAGAGTCCCATGGACAGAGAAGCATGGAGGGCTACAGCCCACGGGGTAAGAGAGTCAGGCACGATTGAGCGACTAACTTTCACTTTCAGTTTTCAAGCCAGACCATGGTATTTTCTTATAAAGTGAAGCTCCTCTACAGAGTTCTACTATGTCAGTGCAATCGTCCAGAGTATATTCTATACTCTACAGGTTTTGTTTCCTGGTAGTTATATTTCCAAGTAAGCTAACCGGGCATTCCTATCCCATAGCTGAGATGCTGAAGATGTATCATCTCACAAGGCAAGAGATCTGTTTGCTTATAACCTCACCAGGGCATGTGCCCCAGCATCTGCTGTAATGTGGGGTTTGGGGGGATTTTTTTGTTTGTTTGGCTACACTGGGTCTTCGTTGCTTGCTCAGGCTTTGTCTGCTTGCAGCGACGGAGGGCTCCTCTGCGTTGCCCTGTTGCCCGGTGCAGGCTTCTCTGGGCGGTGGCGCCTCTTGTGGAGCGCAGGCTCTCGGCACGTGGTTCAGTAGTTGTGGCCTGTAGGCTCGGTAATTGCCAGGCTCAGTCGCTCCGAAGCACCTGCAGTCTTCCCAGACCAGGGATTGAACCTGTGTCCCCTGCATTAGCAGGTGAATTCCTATCCACTGCGCCACCAGGGAAGTCCCGAATGGTTTTTGAAACCATTGAGATGACAAGTCACCAACTGCTGACTTGCCATCCCAACTGAACTTGAAATCCTCTTTTTCAGGGCTTCTCTGTTACTGTGAGACACTACATTTTCAATAGTACCTGGGACATCTCCCTGCTGGTGCCCGTATACAAGTTATGGGCACTGTCCAAACACTCACTGCCTAAAATTCCGAACCCAGCATGGTAGACTGGAACGCTGGCCACGCTTTCCTTCCTTGCATCTGTGCCCTGGCAAGGTGACATGGTAGCTCCTTCCATCAGGAAGCAGAGTCTTTTTCTCCACTCTGAGCTGGTCTTGAGATGTCCTCTGACCGAGTGATATTGTACTAGTTCAGAACCGGAAGCTTTGCGTGCTTTTGCTCTTGCTCTTGGGACCCTGGCTGTGGGTGAGTGAGCCCACGCCAGCATCACGTGGATCACAGTCACCTGAGTGCCCAAGCTGAACTCATCATAATCCAGGCAACCCAGCCAAACCGCCAGCTGACCAGAGATAC